AAGAATTTTTTTGACTTTCTGCTTTACAGTTATTGACTGATCACTAAAATGCACTGGATATTGTGGCTGTAACGGGAAATATGTGGAAAAAGCTTAAGCGGTATGAGTAATTTCATGAGACCTATATGTGATAGATGTCAGTCTGTGGATTGGTGTTGGTCCAACGCAGATCTCTGCACCCACCTGGAATAGATGAGGGAGATGAGTCATGCCGCAGCCGGAGCAACAGAATCACATTCCTGTCTTCTGCGCTATAAATCTGTTGGGTCTCTCTCTTTCGGTGTGCGTCAGATAGAAGGAATAAATTCAAAGAAGAAACGAACTGAAGGAAAAGCATCATTAGAGACAGACGACTATAGCCCTCAGGGTAAATGCCATGTACTGTACATTAGCACCACACTAAAATTAAAAGTATCTGTTTTATTTCCACATATTTTTCCCTTTCTATAGATACCGCTAAAGAAAAACGCATGCCTGAAAGCAAATCTGCTAGTTTAAGGCTGAAGTACCTCTCTCTGAGTAATGTTTAGAGGAGCTAAATGCAACGCTTTTATTTAGGGACTGTTCAAATCTTTGATATTTATTTGATCATCCTTACTGTATTTTACTTCAGTTCTATTAGGGAGCCAAGATAACTTAAGAGAAAGTGCTCTATATGGCAGTATAAACAGAGCTGTTGGCGCAGAAATACACCGCTCATGGTCAGAAACGACCAAATCAGAGCCACTCTCAATCATGCTCATGCACGCGCTGCTCACACCTTCCCTCTGCTCTCCGCTGTACTTCAGCTCCTCCACCCACAGCAGAGCCTGCCTTGAATGTGCAGGCTGGCTAGCAACGCCGCCGATGACGGCAGATAAATATTCTAAACAATAGGAAACATATGTCTCCTATTCTAAAACAGGAGATATAAAAAATGAAATGTAAAATAACTATCAGAATTTTATATAGTGTAACATGTCTGACACTGACGGGGATCTGCTGCAGCCTCACAGTCAGTCAATAACAGGATTTAAACGTTGTTTTTTTGTCACAAAATGATAAAAAAAATAAATAAATAAAAAAACGGTGTTGGAGGCTTTTAGCCAGTCGTCTAAATAATCCTAAGATGTTTTGGTCAAGTACTTCTTGGACTGCTGAAGTGCAGGAATCAAACCTCTTAGCCAGCAGCTGTTTGAAAAGTACTCAATTTCCTGAACAGCTGAAGCCTTGGCATTAACCTGTTCATAATACGTATTTATAGAAATGTTGCTCTTTTCAACAGTATGGAGCAGGACTATTATATGACTTCGTTCAGGTCTGTCCGTGTGTGCCTTAGAGCAGCGATTCACTCCCTCGGTGTTTAGACTCAAATCGACTGCGTTTCCTTTTCTTTGGAATAGCATGTCACGATTAAGTCCAATCAATTTCCTTCCTCCAGAGTAGCCTTTGACCATCTCTGTTTTGTGTTGACCTTTGCATTGACAGCCACACAACATCCTGACTCCAGTCAAAGCTCTGATAAAACCCTGGTGTTGGATCAAGCTGATATCACAAATTTCCCTTCCTTTTCTGTCTCCGATTGGCAGCTTGATTACCTCTGTAACATCAATCTGTCCTTTGTGCTCAGACGGCTGTTTTGTGTGTACGTCTCCATACGTCTCGAAAGAATGACGTCATTACCAAAAAGCCACGAGTTGGATCTGGGATCGGGGAATCCTGATCCAGGCCACATCGGATCCTGGATCCGGGTTTTCTCCAGCAAGCGTCTGGGAGTGGGGGTGGGACTGCACTGCAGAGAAAAGGGAGGGATAGAGAGAGGTAAAAAAAAAAAAAAAGGGGGGGGGGGGGGGAAACAGGGAGAAAAGGAGATGCTTGTCAGTGTGTTGCTGTTTCCACATGAGCCACATAACAGAGAGAGAGAGAACATCTGAAAGAAGAAGAGAAGAAGGTTTGGTGCACAAACTCTTCACAGACACAAGTCTGTGTAGGTAACTGTGGTGAATGCATGCCTGTGTGTCCTCTGCTCGCGTTGCTGCTGCGTTTGCATGTGTGTGCCAAGGTTGCGGCAGGTCACTGAGTCATCTCGGCGAAAACTGAACCTCGAATCTGTATCTGAAGCAGAGAGTTTCATCCCGTCCTCTTTTGCCGCATTTTTTGTACTCATGGGTGGGAATGTTTTTCTTTCTTTCTTTCTTTTTTTACCGGTTTACTTGCTAGATGAACAGGATTATGGGAATTTATGTGTCTGTGCGAGTTCCCTGCAGTCACTTGTGTAGGTGTGTGTGTGTGTGTGTGTGTGAGAGAATCTGATCCGAAAAGAGCCATCGCAGACAGTGAGACAACGTCAACGTGTCTGTGTTGGTTTTTAATTGGTTTGGCGTGTTAACAAAATTAGCATCCTGGTCAAGGAGGATGCTGGAGGTGGCGCTGAAGAGCATACCTGTGTGTGTTTGTGTGAATGCATGTGGGTGTGTTCTCTCTGGTTGAGTGGGGAAAGCTGCAGGTATATTTGCTGTGCTTAAAACCGATCCTCATCAATCATCACATCCCGCTTTTCTAAGCAAACATTTATGTGACACCGCCTCCTGTTGTGTAGCTTTAGCTTAATTCAGACAAAAGACAGCTTTGTTTTTTTTTATGTGGCTTAACATCTAAAGCTAGAAAGTTACATTGTTGTCCTAATGCTGCAATTAGGACAATTTCAATTTACTGCAAAACATAAAGAACTTTTTTTTTTTTTTTTTTGCCAATTTATGATTTTTTAAATCACTTTTAAATGTTTGAAGAAAGCAAATGATTCTAAACTATTTATTCAATCTTGCCTCTATCCATTTTCCCATTTTTCCATCTGTTTATGTACTGCAGTAAAGATGCTTGTCTGCACCTCTCAGTAGAACATCTGAGTGTTTGTGCATGATCCAGATCTACTGGAGGGCGTGGTGGACGGACCCACATTGATATTCTTTTCACGCACCTCTAAACGCATCACGCTTCTCCATTACCTCGCACCAGCAACAATGTCTCCTCTCCCTCGTCCACCCCTCAATCGGCTTCTATTTGTCGCCATGGGAACCATTTGATTCCCCCTCTCTCCTCACTGTTTCTCTCCAACTCTTTTGTCCTTCACACTTTCTCCGCTTTGTTTTCCACCCACCTTTCCTCTTATAATGCCCGTTCCTTCTGAACCTTGGAGCCACACCCACCCTCTGAGCCAGTTCTGCCTGTCACTTCTCCTTCCCCTGTTTTATTCATCCAACTTACACACACACACACACACACTCACTAACACCCCATAACTACCAATTGTGTTTCTTTCTGCACCTCCTTTTTTGAATTATTCATGCAAACTGACTCACCGTCTTGAGGGTGCAGTCGACTCTTTTCAACGACGCTTCTGCCGTGTATTAACGTGCGTTTGGTCGAGATGGATTAACGAAGGGTCACATATGGTCACATATGGTCACACGCGAGCGAAGGACCTATAAATCAAACATGATGCTGCTTTTCATCCTGGCTAAATGAAGCAGTCCATTCTGTCTTCAAATTATAACCTGTGTGTGTGTGTGTGTGTGTGTGTGTGTGTGTGTGTGTGGAAAAGCTGTTTGCTTTGTGTTTTTGCCTATGTTTTATTGATTAGTGTAGAAAGCTGCTAACACAGGCTATGACCAAGCTTTGCAAACAGGAGATCAGTTTGTGGTTAGTGTTAAATCACTTGTAGGTGTTTGTAGATTAGTGTGCTGAGAGCCGGGACAAGGCAAAAGATTAATGAAAAGAAACAAGAAATCTAAGCATGTTAGATTTTTTGCTTCAATGGCCTCATGTATAATGCATACTTATGGATAAATATGTGCGTACCTTTCAATTTTCAATGCCTTGGATTGAGCTGTAATATTTTTTTCTTGTAAAGATACTGATTATTTGTTACCAAAATCCACCAAGCTTTTTTGAAACTATTTAAGATGCTTGTGAATAAATATCCAAGAATTTCTTCAAATGTTACTGCAGTTTAAAGCTGCTAATCCAAACTTTAAAGTAGTACACTATCTCCAGTTGGGTGTCACTTATTTTAAGTTTCTGCCTAAAAATGAGAACAAAAGGGTTTGAAAAAAAAAATCTATTTTTCTGAACGACTATAGCTAATGAGTCAGCCTCTTAATGCAGAGTCATACAAGTGGATCTGGATAAATCTGGAGTCCAGGTGGACAAAGAGAGACACAGAAGTAGCAACAATGAACGAGTCTGACTGGAATCAAAGACGCACGTTATCGCCTCGTTTTTTGGTTGCATAATTATTTTATCATTTCATCTTTAAAGTTGTAGCAGGCTTTTTTTCTGTTTTCCATTGGTGTGCACCTGGAGTAGAGATCCAATCTATGTAGTTTCTCTAGCAAGAATGCAAGAATTTCTTGGGTTCTGTTTGCAGTTTGGTTCAGAGTTCTGAGGAGCAGAACCTCCAACATGTGCCAGATGAAAACAGCAACTGCTTTTCTGGAGACACCATTTTTGTGTCCACTGAAGGAAGAAATTGTGTGACACCCAGTCTGGGTCATTGAGAGGTGACCACCAGTCCCAAAGCAACTTATCATTGCATCAAAATGTGTTATATATATATTATTATTACTAAGATATCTGGGGATTCTGTTCATCACTAGATCCTACATGTTGATAAAGTGCTGCTCATGAGATTGAGGATGTTTCGATAAATACTATTACGTAGCCTCAATTGCTACATTTAACAATCAGCAATTTATGGGACTTTATCATTTTCGACTTTCTGCCAGCCAAGAAGGTTCTGAAAGGTTATAATGTAACCCTTTTTTTCTGTAGAAGTTTATTTTTCCTTCTTGGACTAGTAATTGTAGTTTTCTATTGAATTCACTTTTGCCATATCTACTCTGTCTAAGCTTCTCAAACTGAGCCTCTTTGCAAGTTCAGCTCATAAAATGTAAGATTAGAGTTGATCCCCTGCTCCACCCTTTCTATACAATGCATTATAAAATCTGCCACATCCTTTGTTTGCTTTCTGACTTGCACTTTCCGGTAGTTTCCCGTGTGTATTGAAAATGTCATTGTGTGCAAAGGAGCCCAGTTGCAATCCCAGCAGAGAAGCATGTTAGTATTCACACACAGGGCCCCACAGTGATCAGCACATGTTCAAGCATACAGAAGAGAAGCATGTTCTGCATTTGAAAGATGGCTGGTACCAGTAAATCTGTCCGCTGTCCTGCTGTTTGGCACCTGCTGCTCTCCTCTTGTGTGTGCGTGTGTGTGTGTTTCTATCCACTCTTGTTGTGCACCTCATGCAAATTCCCAAACCTTTTCAACTTTTTCCACATTTGGTCATACTTTAACGCATTTTAGATCGAGATCGAGAGCCACTGTTTGACTTGTGTCTCGCCATAAAAATTGCTTTACTCATATTAATGTGTGTATTACATTCAAAATGCATAGCCATTGTGCAGACACACAGAGAAAAAATTAAATACAGAGAAACCATGTGCGTGGCATGAAAATTAAGACATAATACACAGACGGGGTGAAGTTTGTAGATCCAGGCACAAGAGGAATAAAAAAACAGGACTATTTCTGGTGCACACACAAGCTTGGATTGGACTCATCAAAATGAAATAGAGTTAGAATTATATTATCAACCATGTCCAGATACTCAGAATCCCATCATCCAGATTCATTAACGACGAGCGTGGTTGCACATGGAGGAGTCCTGTTAGTCATCATGAGGTCATAGCGTTCTCTGTGATTGTCCAAACATTTCCTTCTGGGTGTGTCCGAGGCCATGCAGCAGCAACAGACAAATTATTTCATTTAAAAAATTAAATCCCCCACTTAAATGTTGTATTATTCAGCGTCAAAGGGGGATTGCTTTGGAATCGGCAAGTTTAAAGTTTGCTATCCGAAACCATGTGTCGGAGAATCTTATTTCTTTCGTTTCATACAGTGCTGAGTTAACTAAGACAATTTAACAAGCTCCTCTTCTCCGTCATTTATCTCTGCATAGAAACTGGACCCATAGACCCCGTCCTCATCGAGAGATACAACAGCCCGGGTTTCATCGGCTGCCTGTCCCGCGTGCAGTTCAACGGAGTCGCGCCCCTCAAGTCTGCTCTGAGAAAAGCCGCAGACGCCCAGGCCGACAGCCACCCTGCGTCTGCCTCTCCTGTGTCCTACCAGGGCAAACTCGTGCAATCTAACTGCGGGGCTTCGCCTCTCACCATCCCACCAATGTCGGCCGCACCGAATCCCTGGCCTCTGGACAACACCGGTCGGTACTTCTAGAATAAAACTCTCTCCTGTAAACGTTCTCTCATATGAGGAGCTTTTTGTGGTCGACATTCCAACTTCTGAAATGTGCACAAGCAATATATCCTATAATTAGGCGAGATTAAAGTAACAAAACGTCCTTTCATGCTACAAGCCTAACATACAAATCATTATCAAGATACGTCTTGAGCTGAAATTATGTATTTAATCGTGTACGAACTTTAGAAATGAACCATGATAATCGTCTTACACGACAACAATTGCTTGCATTCATGAAAGGATTTGCAAAGAGGTTTATTTATACCTCTACCAGCAAGAATTTTTTTTTTATTTTTTTTTTTATGTTTTGTATTTAGTTTCAACTCCACATTTCAATTTGTCTTACTGGGAATTTGTTATAAATCAACTCCAGTCTTGCATAAATGTGAAGAAGGAAAAAAATGTATGATTTTGAAATGGCTTTACAGACGGATGTTTCACACGGTTGTACCCATCCCCATTTACTTTGTCGCCCATAAATAAATTTCAGTGGAACTAATTTCATTGAGAAGTTACCTAATTTATAAATAAGGTCTACCTCTTTATTCTCAGCATGTCAGAATATTAATGAATAAACTTCATCATAAAGACAAGAAACACAGAAAATTCAGAAATAAATCTTACAAGAATTCAAGGATAGCATTAATTAAAGAGACAGTAAAAAAAACAGAAATTTGTGTTTTTCCTTTGCTTTTACAAGCTGGTCTAGACTTGCTGTACGTTACACTTTCTTTTTGTTGATGCTTTTTCCTGTCCCTTTTCTCTTCGCCGTGCAGATGCAGAGACTCCCCTAAATGAAGAGCGAGTCATTCCTGATGGAGTTAACAGGGACTCGGCCATCATTGGAGGTGTGCCACCGCTACTTATGTTTCGTGTATGAACACTGCTAAAACAATATATGCGGAGAAAGAGTTGTCATAGTTCAACCTGATATAAAAAGATCTGGAAATAATGTCTCACTTGTTCTGGTCAGAAGCCTTGTTTTGGGTGTCGTGTCTCATTTTGTAATAGAAAATAAAATAAAATAGTAAATGAAAGGGATTTACACTTTGAAATGGCAGTTTTCAAAAAAATTAATTTAGGCAGATTTTGGTTAAAAATGCACATTAAGTAAGATCAATGACATGTTTTGCGTAATTATTTTTGATCTCCACATGATGATTCATATGCAGTAATCATAATACCCTGCAGTAAAAATGTGTAAAAGCATGAAATAAATTCTTATTTTAGTAGCATGGACTAAAATGTAAACGGAGAATTCACTTTATTATCTGGTCAATGCCATTTTTAAAATAAATGCAAGAAAAACAAATGAAATCTATACCTGACATTAATATTTTGATTAGAGATTTTGGGATCTTCTTATTCATAATCCATGACTTTCTGTTTCCCTGGGGTATAAATTTGGTGTGACACCAGTGCACATTTTGTTTTAGCCACTAGTCTAGTGCATGGTAATTAGGATAAGTGGGATGGGAAAAAATTCAGGTGGATCCAGCTTGCAACAAATGATGTGGGAATGTGGCGGAGAACGTGCTGAAGTAAAGAGTCCATAGGAGACGAAACCGAAATCTGGTAAATTATTTTAAGCATCAATGCTTGCTATGTGCCAGGAAATGTGGATGGCACTGAAAACGTAGGCGGCGGACCAATGAAAACTTTGAAGTGAGGCAGCAGACGGGACTGAAAGCTCAGTACATTCGACGTGCTATCTCTCTCTTCCACAGGGATCATCGCAGTGGTGATCTTCACCATCCTGTGTACGCTGGTGTTCCTGATCCGCTACATGTTCCGTCACAAAGGCACCTACCACACCAACGAGGCCAAGGGCAGCGGGGAGTCGGCCACAGAGTCGGCCGACACGGCCATCATCGGCACCGACAACCCAGAAACTATCGACGAATCAAAGAAGGAGTGGTTCATTTAACGGGCTGACGATGGGACTCGGACAGAGCAGGCAAAATGCGAGACCATCGTTGCTCACAGATGGAGGAAGATTAATCACGTGACCGACCACTGGCGATAAAGAGGAGTGACTGTTCACAAGGACAACAAACTCCCTGAGAAGATGAGGGTCGTGGGGAAATTTCTGTTCCATTCTTTTTTTTTTATAAATCCAGAGTATTAGAAAAAGAAAAGTCGGACGCTTATCCTGAGGAGTACAGCTGTAAAAGACTATACATGTATATACTAACCAGCTTATCCTTCTTTGTATCGTGCTTGGGAGTTTTCAGGAGTCCTTTGAATACTGTGTATGACAAATAATTACACTTACTGGATGGTGTAATAGCAAAGATTTATTGCCAGTCCTTGTTTGGTTTTGATTTTATATTTAAACAGAAATCTTATATAAGAAATGATCAAATCAACATGCCAAACATTTTGTTTGTTTTTTATCTTTTTCTTTTCTTTTTTTTCCCATTTTTCAAGCTGTAGTCGCACCAGTCTGTCAACACTCGCATTCATCCAGTGGAGCACATCCTGTAACCTGGTAACATAAGAGTTTATCATGAATGCCAAAAGTCTCTTTGTAAATATATTTTGTGTCAGTTTTCCTGAAAAGATTTATTTAGAGTCCAAAATGCCAATGAGAAATGTCATATCTATATTACAGTAATATATCTGTCCATTATATTATATATGTGTAAAATACAGAGTTTTATGTTTAGGTCTCTCATGACTTTCGATTGTACGGGACGCTCCCTCCTGTGGCGGCGCAGAGAGGGGTTTCTCAGAGCTTGATGGCAAATTGTGATTTTTCCACCGATGGTTTAGCTCATCATCATGGCAGCTTTCTTTGAGTTTATGAGTGAAACCAAGAGCCTTTACTCATTCGGACGCGAGCGGTCAGTTTGTTTCTTTGCCAAACACTTTGGTCTTATTTTCAAAGTTTGCGGATATCATTTGGCGTTGAAGGTTTTCTTTGCATTCTTTTTCATGTTAAATGGAGCCATTTCTAACGTGTGCATGTACGCAGTGTGTGTAGGTCAAATGCTGAACAAAGTGCCAGAGGAGGCAGCTTCACAGTTTTTCTTTATGCACTTAGCTCCGAGCGTTGAAGGAGCCTGAAGCAGCATGAATTTAAAGTAAAAACTCCGAACACCACCAGGGATGAAGTTAGGATGGTAATTGGCTTACGAATCTGCTGTGCCTTTAAGGTGTTGAGCCATATCGCCTTTTCTTCTGTTACTTAACTTAGACCCATAACAAAAACTTGACTGATGCTGCATGAAATCTATTCAGGTTTTCTTTTGCTTCCTTCGTAAGATGGTGCTCTTCAGTTTCGCACAAAATGCAAACTCCAGCCAGTTTTTCCCAGCCCATCAAGTATGTCGGCGACGGTAAGAAAGTTAAGCACCCAAATGGAGAGACGGAAATGAAATGAAGTAGGTTGCGAACTGATGACTGTGTAATATCAAGTGGGAAAGGTGTTGGTAGTCTTATGCTGTCAGCCCGGATATAAGCAGCAGTTCAGTCCGGATCAGAGTCACATGGCTGAATCAAGTTTGTCTCAACTCAGGATGGTTTAGATACGAAATGTATCACAAAACGAATCAAGATTGCATTAACCTCTTTCCAGTTTGAACTGCTGCATATTCTAATTAGCAATTGAAAACTTGGAGTGCAAACTATGACTTACTTTCTTTAAAAGCCACTTCTGCCCCCCTGACACAGTGATTCCCCTGGGCAAAGAGCCATATCACCCAGATCAGAAACGGCTATTCCATACTGCCTTTGTATTACGTCCTGTGGCAAGTGAGACCAGAGTTGCAGACTTGTATTATTTCAGCAGTGGGCCATCTGGTGGCTGTTCTAAATGTGCCATAAATTTGCAAACCGAATCCAGTACATAGTCGTCATCGGCATACAAATCGATCCATTCCATCTGTGTGCTTAACTTTTTTTTTTTTTTAAAATCTGCTTTAGGAAAAGCTGTGCAGAATTATATATAAGGAGCAACTGCATGGATGTGCTGCCTACAAACGACATCTATCCTCTGAGACGCACACAATCTGCAAAACAAAGTTCTGTTTCTAACTTTGCTTCTTTTGTCCTGTCAGCGATGTTTACCTGTTCCACGTGTTTCAATTGAAACAAGCTGCCAACCGTGTTTTTAGTTTTTATTTCAATTTGTTGCTTTGTTTTGTTTTGTTTTTCATATGTGTCAGTTTGGTTAAAGAGCTCCCACTCACGTGAATGATTTTATTCCGGCCCATCGCTATCGCCTCAGGGTTGTACGCAGATCACTTCATCGGAGACGTATTGGCAGCTGAGGAGCTCGGCTCGCCTTCGTCTGAGGCCTCAAAGCAAACTTTTTAACATCGCATCCTTCTCACGTTATCGTCTCTGTTTTCCTTTTTCTAATTATATTACTCGGAGTCCAAATAAACATGCACGCACACCCTCTTCTTGTGGTTTAACCATAACGTCGATGATTATCAGTGCTGACAGACTAAACCATAATGCATTTGTTCAGCTTTCAGTTCTGTTGAGTACAATAAAGAGTGTTTGATCAATAAAACCTTTTTTTTTTTTTTTTTCCCCCCAACACATCACTGTCTACTTAAAGCTTTCATCTCACTGCTTATCCACCCCTGGATGTTGTGTTGCGCATGTTTGAGAGTAGAGTATGATGCTGTGGTTTTTATTAAGAATTTAAGATTAAATTCAGAAATGGTCTCTTTCAGAGATAAGTCTCTTTAAGAGTTTACTTGGTTGCGTGTTTAATACTATTGTCTTGCTCTGAAATCAACATGTCATCTTCAACTTTTCATCAAATATGACTTCAAACATTTTTGCAGAAATGTGTGGGTGGTAGCTTTAAAATCAGAGGATGTACAGATATGAAAATATGGAGCTTGAGGAAACGCCTGTCAGTCAGCAAGATCTCTGTACACCTACACAGACTCTCAAGTCAACAGTTCTTGGCTATATTTCCAAATACAATAAATGTAAACCACTGCTCAGATTACTGCATTATTGAACACTAATTGGTTTCCTCTCTAGAGTATGCATGAGCCTTTGTTTTCTTTTGTTTTCAGATGTTGAGTGGGTATTTTTCTGAAAAGTTCTTGGCTGCCACCTTGTGGGCACGCTTTGTACCTGCAGTCACATAGTCCTATGTAAAAAGCAATGAATCCATTTAAATTTTCCAGGGGGTTAATGGAATGGTTGCAAATGTGTGGGGTGTTTTTTAATGAAAGTTCATATAAATAAAGGCCACACAATAAGGCATGTTTTTTCATAAAAAGAAGTGACAGTCTGCATACCAAAATATTATATATTATTTATGTGTAGTTTTTTTTACAAGGCAACGAAAGACCGAAAATGTAGGAAACGATTGAAGTAGCGGGGTTCGGTTACCGTTTCAGTAGAGCTGGCTTAAAGTATAAGCAAACTTTGCAACTACTTAGTGTCAAGTTGCAGTTGCAGAGAAGCCAAATCTATAGAGAGGCTGTGGACAAAATAAATACTTTAATAAATTAATGTTATTTTATCACTAGTAGTATATTTTTCAGTAGTGTTCAGGGACAATTGCCATAATAGATTTTCTAAATTTCTAAAACAGTACACTTGGTCAGGTAAAGAATTTACCTTTGTCTTCAGAAGAACAAGGAAACTACGTTTCGTTTGTGTTTGGTTTTTAATTTGCTGCTCTTCTACCTATTTAAAATATACACCTTCCCCATTTAAAATGTATATTTATTTTTGCTTGAACATTTTTTAATTATGATCTCGATGCCACCACCAAGTCTGGTAAATACAGAATCCTGTGTTTTGTATGACTTGAACCAGTTTGCTTAACTCCTCTTTTTGCTGTTTGTATAACAGGACATAGCTGACTGATTACTGTCAGCTTCATGCTTAGCTTTGTTTCATTTGTTGCCATTATGTATGTGTGTGTGTGTGTGTGTGTGTGTGTATATATATATATATATATATATATGTATATATATATATATATATATATATATATATATATATATACATATATATATATACATGTATATATAAAACTAGGTTGTACATATATGCGTTTTAGTAAATTTAATTACTTCTACACAGTGATGTTTGCAAATTACATATATTTTTAAATCAGACAGAAAAGAACAGCGTGAAACAATATGGGGGTGAATTTGTTTTCAGATTTTAATGTGTGTTTAGACAAAAAAAACCCTCTAAATTCTGAAAAAGTTGTTTTAATGATTTTATTGGCTTTAAACTATTTTTTTTAATGAAAGAAAAATACAAAACAATCCTTTCATTGGTCTAGATTCGGACATCTGTAAGCCACTGTGAATACTTTATTGTTCCACTCTAATGTTGCTGTTAAAGCACAGTAGAAAAAAAAAAATACCAACTGAGCTAGGATCAGCTCCTCCTTGGCATGCAGCGAGAAACAGAATTAAAAGCTCTACATTCATAGTCTGAGGTGCAGCTTTGTGACGCAGCAGGTGACACAGTCGGGGGGAGAAGAAGATGCCTTTGAGATGGAAACCCTGGACTTCAGAGACGAGGAGATGAAGATCAACGTTTTACTGTGGCGCGGGGGCTGCTGTGGCTTCAGGGCACTCGCCTGTAATAACACATATGAACACATATATGAACACTGAATCAGTTTTAGTGTACATTTGGTGATGGATGATGAGTTTTGGGGTGACAACATACTGTTCGGCGGGAAAATAACAATGTTTTCAGCAAGGATGCCAGTGTCCAGAGAGAACTGAGTGAACTTCTGCTGCAGGTCATCGCTGATCTCAGAACTGCGGCCTACAAGCACAACAGGTTTATTTCATCTCAATATATTATTTAAACCCTGTCAGCAGGCCTGGTCCTTGTTGGTGATAAAAACCTACTGTAGAGCTTGTTGAGGATCTCTGAAACTCCGTCTTTTGTCTTGATGGTGTGGACCACAGCGTAGTTGTCGTACACGATGTCAACAAAGCGCATGTCGTTGTCGTTGTTCCAGGCTGGAAAGAGCAGGAAAGACGGGAGCATTAGATTGCCGTGAAGACGCCCTTCGTTTGTCTGTGTGGTCGCCACTCACCCTGGCTGTGGAAGGTGAAGCGTCCGGGAGTGTCTGTTTTCTTCGCCATGTGAGTCATCCTCCAGCAGGTCCCATCAGCACTACTCAGAGACCCACAAAGTTATCTTCCAGTACAAACAGGATTCTGTCTAAAACAATGCATTATCCACTTACTTCAGTGTGGCATAAGAGAGATCCAGGTCTCCAATATCAGTGGGCACCATCGTGGCAGTACCCATCTTCATTGTGGCTTTACGATTCACAAACCACTGAGCATTGGTTGCAAAGCCAGCCATGTACCACTTTCCTGCAACCTAAAGAAAGCACAGAAAGAGGTGATTTTTTTTTCTAGCCAGCCTACACTAAGTGATTTCAAATGTCCATACATGGCATCATTTTTATATTTGTGCCTGAGAAGAAACTTTTTAAAAAAAAAAATCTCTCTCTCTCCCTGCACAGTTGTAACATTTACACATTTAAATTTTTTTTATTAGGTCGTAACTCTTTTTTTCTCACCTTCTCCAGGCTGAAGTCTGGTACAGGCATGATGTTGGCGCATGCAGCCAGCACGCAGGTGAGGGCGGTCAGCATTCTCAGCACTGTGGTCGTCATGGTTCCTCCAGCTCAGAGCGACTCTCTCAGGCAAGGGGTCAGGAGCGTCGGGGATACTGAAAGGGAGCCTTCTGAGTCTTCTTATAGCCTACTGCAGCATCCTACCTCCCCTCATGTCTCCTCCCCTCAGCTCTCTTCCCTCTGCCCCCTGGCTTGAGCATTGAAAAAAAAACAAAAAAAAAACCCTCTGGATCTTTCCCAAAGTATGCAAATTACAGCTGTTACACAACCGGCACGTGGATGGAGGAATTGGGGTGGAGGCAAGGAGTGCTTTTTTTTTTTCTTGTTTTTTAAAGAGATACTGAAGGATGACTGACCTGTCGTGGCTTCTGTTTGGTAAGAGCACAAAAGCCAAGAAAACAACAGAACAGAGCAGCAAATGTTCTGCTTTGAGGTCAGCTCTGGGTGCCAGTTATTGGGATCAAACTGAACAAAGCGAAGCAGTACCCAGCAGGTCCCGCAATGGAAGCATCATTGTTTTTGCTTTTATAGTTATAAAAAAAAAAAAAAAAAACATTGCATAAAGTGGTTAGACATATTTGCAATCATTAATCTTACTTCAAGAGCTACTTTTTCAACTTTCACTCCATGTCAATATTCTGAAAGGAATGAATTATGTTCATTTAAAGACAAAAACAGCTAAAACGACGACTGTTTTTATTTTCCTGCAGTTATCCATTAAATGCAGACTAGCTGTGAGGGGTTCAATCGCTGAAATTTGCTGAATCAGACCCTCCCCCTCCCCCTTTTGTAAGGAGGCAACAACTCACAATCAGCCGGTTATGTAACCCTGTGTGACACACGCAAACACACAGGGTGGAGGGAGGAGAACGGGTAAGAAAGTTTTGGACCACAAATTGAAACCAAACCCTCTGATCCCCTGAGGGGATTCCAACCTGGGCCTTATTATCCCTGGTTTCTCACTGGCACGCCAAGAAGCAGCTTGCGTAAAGTCACAGACCTTTGAAGGTTGATGAGACCACGACGAAAACAAATGATGTACAAAACTACCAAAAGGTTAAGATGTGGATTTGAAAAAACTGAAAACAGTCGGTTGACTTCACCTCGTTTTGCTTTTAATTAGGAGCAAATTATTACATGTAAAGGGAACTCATAAGTTCAGTTCCATCAACTTTCTTGGGTGGATGTCGGAGCTCCGCCTCTTCAGCATGTGGGGACACAGTCTGGAAAACAAGAAGTGACAACATGAAATTACACTGGATGTACACGGATGCAAGAAATGGATGTTGGGTAACTTGTTCTTCTCAGCGTTTCATAAGTTTTGCACGTGCACATCCTGCAGGAGCAACCCGACTGACCTTAAGGTTTTAGTCAAATTTCTATCTCTGTGTCCAGGTGATAAGTAGAAACAGAGATTAAATGTTCTCAGGAAATGAGCTTAATAAGATCTTTAATTTGAGCAAGTTGAAATAAGAGCTTTACATAACAGAAAATGCTGAAAGCTTTGCAAAACTTTGTAAATTCAATTAACCATTGAATGATTTTTATCTTTGGGGCAGAAGAGCGACATGTTTCTCAACAGTAAGAAGCACGCAGAGTTTCTATAGAGTCTAAAATTATGAATAGCTGATATTGATTACGCAGTAAAGGATGTTGCAAAACAGTCATTCCTTCAGTCGCTCATGCATTGACTTGAAGCCTTGCAGTTATGTAAAAGTAGACAACAGGAAAAGTCGACGTCAAGTCAAGGCCTGTAAGACTCTGAAAGGTTTCGTTTTGAAGATTTTCACAAAGGCAAAGGAGCTGACTTCAGACCATGTTTAATACATTTCCCGCAGAGCTATATTATTTTATTATTAGTGGAATCATTAAAAACATCAGAAAACATGTTCACGCTTCACTAACATGACATTGCTGATTAACTGAACTGGTTATGATGGAAAACGGGATGGCTGGAGCTCAAATGTTGTGTTTTGGATTAGCTTATCACAATAACTAACATTTTTTCATCTAATATTAGGAAGATATGTAATTTCAACATCATTGCTGTGCATTGTGGTGATGATATTGATTGTGATTATCCTACAATATCCTCATTACGTTTTTCTCCATTGTGTTGTCTCCACCACTCAACCTTAATGACTGCACAGAAAATACAATATTTTAATAAATACTGCTAGTTCTTCTTATTAGATGAGCAACTTGTACCCAACTGTGACAGATCTTACTTATTTTGTGGTCCTGGTCCACTTCACCACAGTGACCTTAAAAGTAGGAAAAGTTTTTGTCATTTATAAGACATACAACATATTGTGCATGTAAACATTTTGTCCCAGTTTGCGTCATTAAACGCTGCTCTAATGTGCACACGGAGCGTTAGTTTTACACTTAAACATGCTGTGTTTTTGTTTGTCACCATGGAGATGTACTTACTGTAGGTGGGGAAGGGGAAGAGGTAGGCAAGACCCATGCCATGTTTTTCAGCAAGCTGTTCAAACTTAGTCAGCATTGGCTCGGACAGGTCATCCACAGACCTACCTGTGAGACATCAACAAGCACTTACAAGCACATCTTTCCTGCGTTACCGTAAATCAGTCAGAAATACACATAGATGCTGAACCTACTATAGAGCTTTGCTGTGACCTTCCCGAGTTTCTGATAGTACAAAACTGCATAGCTGGTGTAGTCTGTCTCTCCAATCACAATGTCGGTGTTGAGTTCAGGACGAGTTCCTGGTGAGAATAACAATAATCAGAGCGGGAAAAGCTGCTACGCGTTACGGAAAACCTGGAAGAGAAGAACTGACCTTTAAGCGTTAGCTTCCCCGGGGTTGAAGTTAGATGATATTCCTGCAATATCTCCCAACATTGATGATTACTGAGAAGGGAAAAGGGGAAAAAAAAAGAGAGAGAGGAGTTTGTGTGACTAATTTTCATTATTCCGTTATGTGACAGATATTATATAAAACTCCATTCTTCTGCTCGGAAGAAAAGCGATTTACCGCCTTGACATCAAAACAAAAGTATTTCACACAAACACATTTTTTTTTCAGTTTATTGCTGAGTCAGTTTCATCAAAAGCTTTAAAAAACGCAGAAGGAAAGCTCATTTTATTTTCCCTCCTCTCCCTGTTTTGTTTTTGTGGGCACACAGACCAATTCCATTGTCAGAAATGTCCTTGCTCAGACAAATTCTGAGAATATATGTGAGCTGTAAGTAATTACATGCATACTTACTGTCTGGTTTTAGTGCTAACTGACAGAGTTTGGGCGGATGGACCTGTCAGGGTCATGACCGTCGGCTCCACCTTGGTTCCATGTTTTATCAGGTAAGAACACTTGGAGGCCGTATTAAGGAGATACCATCTCCCTGTCATCTGTAACAAATGTTACGTTACACAGAGAAAGAAAACATAAAAAAAAAAAACACTTTAGGAGGAACATTTATTTTGTAATATTTGACCAGCTTGATCTTTGTAGTAGCTGCTGGTGTTAAGGTAGAAGACAAGTGGGCCGACAACACATATTTGAGGAACACCATGCATGCATACATACTGCTGTAAAACACCATTACAGTGACTGAAACTACAAAAACCAAGTGTTATGTCATTTTTTTGTAACTAAAAGTATAGTTTCTTTTGTTTTGTTTTTGTAATCGAGCAGCCCAATAATTTAATTTCGCTCTTTTTCAACACATTCAAAAATTTAAGGTCTGCAACCAGCAGAAAGTGTCCCAATACAAACAAAAGCACACATCTGTTTCAAATGTTGTGTTCTACCTTCTTTAGCCATACTCAGCCTCTATTTACCTAAAAAAAAATCCCTCTATTGCGTCAACAGTACTGATAAGAGTTTCACAACCATGCCCCAAGAGACAGCGCCCAGAATAATCTTTAGAAAAGCTAAAACAAAACATATCAGAAATTACTTCTTTGGAGAACATGTATTTAAAAAGTACTACACATTCCCTAATTCTTTTTACCATTTTTAACAAAACTCCACAGAACATCTTACAAACAAAATGTTTTATAATAGTCGGTTTGAGGAAGCAAAACCCACTGATTTCTGACGATCTTCACCTATTTTATCTATTTTATCTCCTTTTTTTGCGGCGTTGTTTTGCAAAAGACCTGAAAAAAAGACTGAATGAGAATCACTGCCAGTGTGCAAAGACCAAAGCCTGAAAAGTTATTTGTCAATGGTTGTGATCAGTATGTAAGATCTAATTCAAATGAAATAACTTTCCAAATAAAATAAAACAAATTACAAACTTATGGCACAGGTAACTTGTACATCTGTTAATGTTATTGAAAACATATATTTTTCTATAAAATCTAGTAATTTTAGCAAAATGTCTGACAAAAATCTATACATTTCCATGTAATCCCGGTTTGTTAACATGGATAAGCTTGGACTGTACTTTGAATTTTACTCCCAGTCTCTTACCTGCTGGATGTCGATATTCTGAGTCGGTGGGGTTGAGTCGATGGGCTCGACCTTTGGCTTCTTCGGTGGTCGTCTTTGAGGTTTTGGTCGACTCTTGGCTCCTCCCACAGCCTCGGTGGGAACCAAGAGACAAAGGCACAACAGCACCGCTGCTGCAAGTACACATCTACATCCTCCCCTCATCATGTCACTGACAATCACGGCTTTAAGGCTCTATTTTCTTGTCAGATCAGTGTGCTTCTCTTAGTCCTAATTTTCTTAGTTTGCAAAATTCTCTTATCTTTGTGCTGGACTCCCTTTCCACCTCCGTCTCTGTTGTCTGCTATCCCTTATCTGTTTTACTCAAACTCTTAAGAAGATATAGACACAGGAGGGTAACAAGCATTGTGCAAATGAGGATGACCCACCCAGTTAAACATTAATTTGGCTTACTGGTACAGATAAGGCCATTTTTTTGAGTACTGTGCTAGGTTTTTCTAACAACAGGGGGCAGCAACAACTTTTTAAAACATATTTTGGGAAAGAAAACGTCCAAAATGTAACTGAGATACATTTTTATGGCAAAAATACATTAATAAGTACATAAATGACAAAAATAAGTAATTTCCTTCAGATTACAGTTTAAAATAAACTTAATGCGCTCAACAGACATTAGTAAAAACGGTAACACTTTATTTGAAGGGGGGTGAATAAGACTGTCATGACACTGTCATTAACATAACATAACACCTGTCATGAACATGAATAAGCCTTCATGAATATTTATGACTGTTGTCATAAAGCGTCATTTGGTAAATTATGACACTTTTAATACAAAGTTGACATTATTCAAAATGTTTTTATGACAACTTGACATTAACCAAGAAATCATTACTGATATAAATTTGTTATAAAAGTATTACTGATTGCACTTTAAAAATTACGTAACTTTATGTTATTAAAGGTAAAGTTTAAACAGTAATGATTTATTGTTTAATGTCAAGTTGTCATAACAAAGACATTTTGAATAATGTCAACTTTGTATTAAAAGTGTCATAATTTACCGAATGACGTAAAAACACACTTGCAATGACTTAAAGGGTACATACTGCATGTTTTTTTTTTGTTTGTTTTTTTTTTAAAGAGTGTAGCACTTTATTTTTTTATTTTATCAACCGATTCACTTCTGGTGAAGCCCACTTGTTCTGTGTAAATGCTACAATCAAAACTGAAGCAAGTCCATCACTTCTGCTCTTCTGTGTCAGCAACACCATTTTCTCTGGGTTTGAATTTGAGGGCTGCGCTGTTTATACAGAACCGTTGCCCCGTCGGGTCTGGTCCGTCTTCAAACACATGGCCAAGGTGGGCATCGCACTGTACGGCAAATATGCATTAGTCAATATATATCTAAAGATATGGTACAACTAAACGGCACAAAGCAAGCTAAGCTTTCAGATATATTAGAAAATAACTCACATTTTTACAGAGGATCTCTGTCCCAGCACTACCCAGGCTGTTGTCAGGGCGACGAACAATGGAGGCCTGGCTCTCGTCTCGCTCCCATGTCCCATGAGCCTCTTTGAATGCTGGCCAGCCTGTCCCTGAATCATATTTAGCTTCTGAACTACAAAAACAAGAAGAAAAGCACAACAAATGCGCATTTAACGGGAACCTTTTGGCAGATGCAGATTACTTTTTAATGCTTACCTGAAGAGGGGAACATCACAGCAAACACAGTGGTACATTCCCATTTCAAAATGGTTCAAGTAGATTCCACTAAAGGGCTAAACACACACAAATCATTTTATCATTTTATAGTCCAAAAAATGAGAGTCTTGAGGAGGTTTATTTACAGGATAAATTCAAACTAATCAACTGTAATGGTAAGCTAATAAGCACAAGAACTCAAAAAGGTTAGTTATTGAAGCAAAAGTATCAGTTGTTCCTTAAAATCTTCCAAAAGAGAAGTTCAGTTAAGGAAACGCCAAAAACTCATAGTATGAAATGCACGTTGTGATCCAGGGCACAGGAAAGTCTTTGATTGACCATACTAAGCGCAGTGTAAGCTTTTATACTGGCACTATTCATTATCACTGTCAATTAATACCTATAACTTTTGTAAACTGGTGATTTTCCTTAGTGTCTCTGAGCTCTGTAAGTCGACGTAGCGCAGCGCTTCACCTGCTACTTCTCCTAAGCTGATTATCTGACTGATTGGGTTTCTTTCTCTGCAGCAGAGTTGTCTTAATGTAAAGAATGTGAAAATTTTCAAAACCAAAACAATACACATTAACACATCTTCAACACTAGTGTGCAGTCGTAACATAGAGGAAGTAGTCTGACCGAAACTAAAACAGGTCATCGTTATAGTAGTGAGCAAAGTCCATGTCTTGTTTTTGATGAGATGGCATGAAGTCGGTGCCCGATTCATAGGTCATGTTCCAGTTGCACAGATTTGCTTGGTTCTTTTCTATCTATACATTTTGGATAAATTCACTCCTTTTTCCTTTGACTCACCTCTTCAGTTCCTTTCTCTCTTGTGACGAAATACTGCTCTGGTGTCAGCTTCTTTTGCCAGTCTGTAGTCTTGTTGTAACGTGTGAGAGACTTGAGGCCTGCAGAGAAAAGCAGTCTTTATATATCTAAATATAAGGACCAAGTATGAGTTGTGACGTTCTGGTGCATTTTGCACGAAGTATTCATGACCTTATTTGGAAACGCATCACAAAGAAAAGGTTTACTGTATGATTTTCAACCAAATTAACACTTATGATGCCAGGGTGGAATTTTAAATCGCTTTATAAAGCATTTGCACAAATTAACTTCATGACAAGTTGGATCACACATTCTCTTTTATTACATTGCCCCTCAATAAAAACATTTAAAGCCTGCAATAAACATGGAAAGCCCCAATATCCTGTATCCGGGAGAGAAGACATGCAGAGGGAGAGCAGTCAAAGGTCGGGACACAGAGCAAACTAATGCGGGACAAATTAACTTTGCTCTATATTACCTGGAGATGTGGAGAAACAGCGGACGAACGGAGGGATCCTCCGCGGTATCACCGCTGATCTGACCGCCGCGTGTTGTTGAGAAACCGCAGCGAGGAGGCGAGCGACAAAACGCGACATGTTTCCCCCCCGGCGGTGTGTCAAGTGTGTGTCGGTCGGGAGTCAAGTGCAGCGCGGATTATCAGTGGAGCCGAGCGCTCCCGTTACGGCGGGATATTTCATGCTGCAGCGAGTTCACGCTGGTCTTCCAGGTCAAAAATCAAACCTTCACCTGAATGGGCCAATCTGGACTCACTTCACCCGCTTTTATTGCAGGGGATTGTGCAAAAAAAAAAAAAAAAAAAACCTGTCGTCAGTGAGCTGCTGCTTTCTGATAAGAAAACGCTTCAATGGGAAGGAAGTTCGTTTAGTAATACAAGTTGAGGTAAGACCGCAATTCAGGATGCATTTTCAATGAACGACGAACAGTCAGGAGGTGAACTGGATTTATTTCTACATCCTGAATCTGTAAGTCAGGATTAAAATATATATATATATATATATATATATATATATATATATATATATATATATATATATGTTTGGTCTGATTAAAACAAACATCAGTTTGGCTATTGCATGCAAAACCAAACAAAAAAAATAAACACAAAAGACGTAACTTATAGTTTATTGTATAGTTCTTTGCTATAGTATATTGAATGTTTGTACAAGTATGTGAAACAGAATGAAACTATATAGTCTGATACTGCTGAGCAGCTGGGGAATCAATTGGCATTAAGGTTCCAGGCTGATGCATAAGGTCCACTATGTAGCAGATTGGCTCCGGAGACCTTAGGTTTTCATGGACCTCCTCGAAGAGAAGAACTTCATTCCAGGCCCGATTGTAATCACCGCGAACAAGAGTGCAGCTCTTTTCGATGGTATCGGCAAGACACTGAAAAGATTAAGATGAGACAGAATGGGACGTAAATACAGATCACTACCAAGTGTTCACAACCCATTTACACATTGTGTCATCTGAACTACAAATTTTATTTTATTGGGATTTTATTTTAGGCATGTGTGAACTTCAACTTTCATGCTTTGTCACAGATTTCCTATCAGATTTAGATCTTTGATGAGGCTACTACAACACATTAACACACTTTTATCCAAACCATTTCACTGTAGCTCTTTAGCTGTATGTTTATGGATGTTGTAATGCTGCAAGGTGAGCCTCCACCCCGTCCCAAATCTTTCACAGTCACAGTTATTTTTCCAGAGTTGCCCTGAATTTAGCTATACTAATCCTTCCTTCATATTCTACTAGCTTACTATTTCATACTGAGAGTCCCCTCAGCATTATTCTGCCACCACTATGTTTCAATATGTTAGTTTTCCACTAAACAAAGTGTTTGGCAGGCCAAAATATTTTGGACTCATCAGACCAGTTCATTCAGGTTGAATGAGGTTTGCTGTGTCTCTGTGTTGCTTGTGAAAAACTGCAATTTGGACTTCTTGTAATGGTCCTTCAACAATGACTTCTGTATTTCTTAGAGGCCATATTTGTGAAATGCACAGGTAATGGACTCTGCAGCTTCTCAAAAGTCACTTTTGTTTTCTTATTGATGCTCTCCCTGGTCAATGCCAATTTAGAACAACAGTCTTTGTCTATTATATGAAATCTCAATAAAATATAAACAGTTTTGTGCCTGTAACAAAAGTCCAACAGAGGTGTTGTACACACAAACTTAATTTAGATAAGAATAAACCATGCAAAAAGGAAAAAATTGGATTTAAAGTAACACTGACAACATTTGGTGACAGGAAAGCGGAGGACGAGGAAGACAAGCAAAAGAGTTAAGAACCTGCTAATGCTCTGTGGAAAGTCGTACCTTGAAGAGAAGCGCTCTGTGGCAGTAGGTTCCCTTGTTTATCATACCAATGGGAATAACATTCGACTTCAGCTGAAACCTGAGGTCACTTTGGTGCAGCACCCAGTCTAATTCGTGCAGCTTTTCCAGAGGCACTGCTCCACCCATGGCATCACTCACCAACCTGACAGCAACCGCAAAAAAAACTCATAACAGTTGAGACATTCCAAACTTAAAGTGATTTTGATCTACAAGAAGCTATCTCTGATATAATAATATGCCTTTTCAAATTGTGTTTGTTTCCAAGATTTTGGCATTTAAAAAAAAACAAAAAACTAATTTCTATTCTCAATGGCATATTTGATATATCATTATTTAACAACATTTTACCAACATAATTAAATGTATACCTGGCCAAGGCCGCATACTGCTCTCGTTCATCTGTCAGTGAAAGGACGGAGTCTTTGGCCTCTTTAATTAGCATAAGCAGGGAGACGTCCCCAAAAATAATTGGTGACTTCTCTGTAAGAACATCTTGGGGCTCTTCGTCGGGTTTGTCTTTCTCTCTTTTCCTTCTATACAGAGAGATAGTTAAATCCAACTGTAATAGAGACGAATACTCATGCCTCAAATTTGATACTAAAATTAGTTCAGGTTAAGACTTTACAGCAAAAAAACATTTCTTTTGATATTGTATGTGTCCTAATATTCCACCTACTTTGGTGTCATTCGTCCTTTCTTGATTTCTGATTCTGTTGGGCTGGGTTTTCTGTCTTCTGCCAGCTCTACTGTCTCTCTGTGGCGCACAAAAGGTTTATGTATGTAAAACGGTTGCTTTATGCAGGTGGATTTGTATGTGCGTTTATATATGTCTGTGTGTATGTATTATTTTCATATTTATTTAGAAGGGATTTGGGAAATAGGAAGACTATTTATGTTATGAATTACTGAATGGAAAAGGTGTGTGATTATATAAGTTAAACTTCATCATGCTCCTTTTCAGACTCCATTACAAACTATGGAAGAAATCTTCTCCACAGTTACAAAGCCTTCTTTTAAAGTCTAATGAGATTTGTGGTTGTAGTACAGGTGGCAGTAGTTAGTTCACTATTTGAGCTTTTGAGATGATGATTAGCTTCTCCCAGCAGTAAAAACAACACCTCTTTGCCATGGATAAGCATCATACCAACTACCCACAACTAAAGAAGTAAGAGCAAAAAAAGACGGGACAACTGTCCTAAGACGCAATGCCTCAACAAAAAACAACCATGAACAAAAGAATAAATCAGAACCACCCTAACACTGTATAACCCTCCTCCCCCCAGTCACCCACTACTACAATGGTGGGATGAGACCCCAGCCGTGGGATGGGAGAGCAGGATATCAACTTCCCATTGACTACCAGAGAGAGCTCCAGAGACTTGGCTCTCTTCTGGAAATGGAGAGAGCCAGGTGGTTTGAAGAGAACCAAATACCTATGTCCAGAGAGAACTGGACAATACCAGAGCAGAGTTAAAAAGGCAGGAAAGACTGAAGGGGATGACTAGACAACAACCGACAGCAGAAGAGGTTTTCAACTCTGAGTCTCTCAGCCGTGCTGCTATCACTTCCCAGGTGCAGAATGGCATAAAGCACAAGCGGAAAATGCAGCTATAATTAACACCCTTGACTGGGGCACATGGACAGACATTATAGACTTTACACAAAAAGTTAATCACAGAGGCAACTAAAATCAATCAATAAAAAAATCCTTTCTGAATATCATCTCAGGACTCTGTACTAAATGCGTCTCTCTGACTGGGATCCGATAGCGTTATGGACCGGACACTTTGGAGCGTCTGGTCAGGAAGCTCATTGCAAACATTTAGTTGAAATGGCGCCTTTAACTCCAGTCTCNTTGTTTAACAACCATGGCATCCCTGTTCTTAATTGGCCAGCAAACTCACCTGACCAAACCACATGGAAAATCTCTGAGGTATTGTGGAGAGGAAGCTGTGATTCTCCAGATCCAACAATTCAGAAGAGCTGAAGGTCACCATCAAAGTAACCTGGACTCTCATAATACCTCAGCAGTGTCACAGACTGATCAGCTCCATGTCTCACAGCATTCCCACATACTCTGGTGCAGAAGCTCTCTTCTTTCCGACTGAGTTCCACACTGGGGAACTGGATTCTGGACTTCCTGACCAACAGACCTCAGTCTGTCAGGATCCACAACAACGTCTCCTCCTCCATCACCCTCAGCACTGGCTCACCGCAGGGCTGCGTGCTGAGCCTCCTTCTCTTCACTCTGCTGACGCATGACTGCTCAGCAAGACACCCCATATAGTGAAGTTTGCAGATGATGCATAACGAACAGTGATGAGTCCAAATACAGAAAGGAGGTGGAACACCTGATGCAGTGGTGCAGAGACAATAACCTCTGCATCAACGTGAAGAAGATCAAGGAGATGGTGGTGAATTTTAGAAGGGACAAGGATCCTCTTCAGCCCCGGAGAAGCAGTTGTGGAGGTGATCTCCAGCTACAGGTACCTGGGTGTGCCTGTATCCAGTGACCTCACCTGGAGTACCAACACCTCCAGTCTGGTCAGGAAGGCTCACCAGCATCTCTACTTCCTCAGGAAGCTGTGGGAACTCAGTCCTGAGGAGCTTCTATCGTTGTGTGGTGGAGAGCGTTCTCTGCACCTGCATCACCGTGTGGCACAGCAGCTGCACTGCTGCTGAGAGGACGGCTCTACAGCGGGTGGTCAAGGCTGCACAGAGGACTGGGGAGCACCTTCCCTCCACTTCAGACCTCTATACAGCACGATGCAGGAGGAGGGCCCTCATGAAGGACTCCACTCATCTTGCACACAGACAGCTTATTGTCTGTGTGCAATATTATTATTATTATTATAATAGCACACACACACACACACACACACACACACAGAGGCTGAGGAGCATCCAGAGCAAGACCACCAGGCTCAGGAACAGGTTCTTCCCTTCAGCCGTCAGATTGCTGAACTCAAGCTGCACCTAATTCAGCTTCATCTTATAAATTATTTGCAACACACACACACACTTTCTTTTAATAGACATATCCATACATCACATAAATTACTTTATTCTTTATTTGTGTAGTCCGAATTTCATACCCTAAACAAGCAAAGGTGATAAAAACTTCTTGAATCCTTGAATTGCTGCAGTAATTTAGGGACAAGGAGCCCCAACTAAGTACTGAGTCCTGTACATGCTAATACTTTTCAGTTGGCCAATATTTCTAAAATTCCTTTTTTTCTATTTTTCTTAATATTCTAATTTTCTGAGATACTGAATTTGGGCTTTTCATTAGTTGTGAGTTATAAACGTCAACATTAAAAGAAATAAACAATTGAAATATATCAGTCTGTGTGTAACTAACATCCAAGTTTCACTTTTTGACCGGAACTGCTGACATAAATCAACTTTTTCATGATATTTTAATTTTATGGCCTTCACCTGTAATGTCTTCATGTCTGATGACATGAAGGCAGACATCAGCTGCTACACACGTTGCTTGTCACATGAGTCATGACTGAAAGTTGACTGGTAAGTCTCACTGCAAACAGTACACGAGAAAGAAATTATAGCGTTGTACTGCTTCAGTTTTACTCTGTGTATTAAAAATAGACTGATAGGTAACATTTATTATTAGGCAGAATTTGAACATTTCAGAAGAAGCTCACCTTAGGCTAAGCTCGTCTTCAGCAGTTCCTTAGAAAAAAGCTTATCTCCATTGTCTGCAGTGTCTTTCTTTTCACCAGTCTCTTTCAACTCCTGGATATTTTCTTTATCTTCTTCCACTCCAAGAATTACACTTTGTCGTACACTAACAGAGATCACCAATGCTTGTATGATGCCATAGATCAAAGCAAACTGAGGGAGATACTCCTGAATCAACCACAGCAATCCTGCCATTCCAGCTGTTGAGACAAAAAACATGGCCATGCCATGAAACCACAGCCTCAGAGCTCCCTGGACACCAAACACCTCCAGGATCAGTTTGGCAGGAGGGGACACAGTCCACAGGAAGGCCACTACGAATAGGTCAAACAAATGCCGAAGGAAGTTGAAGCAAATTTCATAGTGCTCTGGTATAATCTCCAAATTCCAGCTATCTGTGAAACATCTGAATGGAGAGGTCAGCTGAGAAGGAGTGGGAGATGGGGGAGGGGTTCCATAATCAGAAAAGTCCCCGTCAACATCACCTTTCCTTTCTCTCAGGCTGCTTTTAGCAGTTTTTCTTGACCACAGATATGATGTGGGGAGATATTTGCTCCACCACCTGGACACCTGTAGCTCTGTCTCTGGTTTTCCTGAGCCAAGATCTTCTATTTCCATGGGTTGCAATTTCTCCTGTGCCTCCCAGTACTCCTCTCCTAGAGCACTCTGGTCACTTCCTTTTCTCCACCCTCCCCACATCCAAGATCCCCAGTTACCTTTAGCAAGCTGCTTTTGACGCAACATTGGGGTATTTTGTGAGGTACAACTACCCCAGAAGCGCACCCACCCCCACACTCTTCCCACTATAGAAGACATTACTTATTAAAAGTTTAACCAAGACGAATTGGAGAGATAATCACCCTCTGCAATTTCTCTAATGCCAATATACCAAGAAGATTCAAGCCAGGGCAATAATAACGTTTCCGGGCCAAACACACCCGTAAGGCGTGTTGAACCCGTTCAGCAATTCAAGAGGCGACTTGGCCTCTGTACATAGCTAAATCTGCCTTTGACAAGCAGTGTCTCTCCTATACAAAGCCATCAGTCATGAGTTATAAACATAGCATTTTGCCATGTTTAACACTGTGAGCTCTCCAGGTTGTTTTCAGTAAGTCAGTACGACACCCAGCTAAGCTTATTCCCAGCTACTGTTCAATTTTGGGGTTTCGAGACGAACTTCCTGGACTCCCTGTATTCCGAAAGGTATTACTCCGAATCTCAAACCTGGAAAAAACAAAAACAAAAACAAAACAGGAAATATTTGTAGTTTTAATAGTTTTGTTGTCTAGTACCACGTCAATATCAGAGCTACCAAGCTAGCGGCGTAAAAGACTTAATAATTGCCAACTAGCAATAAAGTTTTAGCCAGAAATGTCAAAGTTATATCAAATTTCCTCTTAAACCTTTACCCCTCAGGGTTTTATGTTCTTTAAGTGTAGCTAATATGTTAATAAAGCGCCAAATCTTTACCTTTTCGGCCAGGTTAGCTTATCACATCTGCTGCTGCCCTTGTACGCTTTCCCTCAGATAGCTCAGTTACATTCTTAACATATGGGCCGTGTAGTTTTAAAGTGCCTGAAGTCGAAGAGAAACTAAATAGTCAACCTGAAGAAGACTGATGCCACGCATTTCCAACTAGAGAGGTCTACTGCCTTACAGAAGAAAGACGACACAACAGATTAACCTTCAAAATAAAAGTCACCGGAAGACCGTGTGGCATGAAATCCAGAACATATAAACTCTTAACCCCAAATGCAAAGATTACAGTTTAGTCAAAGGTTGCGTTTAAGTCGCTATTAACTTAACGTCTTAGACTGAAATATCTTGGTTGAACCTGCAGGAGCTTAAAAACGCAGGACAGACCGTCTTCTTTATAAAAATATGAATAGTTCAAATTCAAAAATACTGTATTAATCCTAAAAGGAAATGAAATGCTTATCTCAATTTGAAAATTTTCAGTTATTGCAAATATTGATGGCTGTGGGCAGGAAAGGTTTTTCACAGATAGTTTGACTAAGACAGCCTCATGAAGAGAAGGGTCAGAGTTTTCCATAATCTTCTTGATTTTATGAAGAATCCTTCTTTGTATCATCATCTTCAGAGGCTCCAGTCATCCCCAGAGCAGAACCAGCCTTCTTTATCAGTCTCTTGAGCCTTTTTAGGTGCCTTATTGTGATGCTGCTGCCCCAGGTAGTTAACTGCATTTGTAGTTTACTATATTGCCTTTGTTCAACTTTATAAGTTTGTGAACATTTAGGCAAATACATCAACTACATTCCAATCACACACAGATAAGAAAAATATAGACCTTAAATTATGTCAGGCTTTATTTCACAGACAAGCCAATGTGGTGTGGACATTTAAATTGTTTATTTGACATGCAATCAACATACACTGAAAAACAGTTGTGTTGCTTCACGGATTGTGCGTCAATGGATTTCTTCAAGAGACCAATGAAATCAACCACAGATTCACTAATGTTACACTAAATAAACTCCGTATGCCATACCTCACACCAAATAAACTGCATCTTTTTATTGAGGTTTATGAGGAATTGAAGCACATCATACAAAAGAAAGAAAAAATTCCGCTACAAGAGCAAACGATAGATAAATTGAATACGTAATTAGCTTAAAAATATACATTTCCAAACTATTCTTAACTAAACATAATCATACATGAGATTTTCACATATAAAAAACTATAACCTAATAGTGGAAGTCAATATTATAAACATGTTCAACTGACAGCGAATTCCTTCATGTTGCTGTTTTGTTCCACATTCTAGATATTTATACAGACCAAAATGAAATATAACAATGTGCAATATCTGTGAATTTTCATCTTTAATTTTACCTGTAGTTAACTGCCCCTTTAAGTTCTGATGCTTTTGCTTTGAGTGGTCACACATGGCCGACCTCATGCAAATCGCATGAGGTCGATTTGCAGTACTGCCAGTTTGTTGGAAATGAACACTTTAAAGTCCTATAGCTCGATAATGGACATTGAGCTGTGCAGCTACTGCTCTGGTGGACATCCCTCCCTACATCCAACATGCCAATGGCATGCTCCCGCATAACTTGAGACATCTCAGGCATTATGACTTGTGACAAAATTTTACATTTTGGGGTGGCCTTTTATTGTCCCCAGTCCAAGGATTGTCCAGCTGTTGCTCATTTTGTCTGATCACTCACTGGACATGCCCCACCCATGCATTGGGTAATGCTCACTGACAGAAAGTTGGATTACAAATTACACACAAATCAGGAGAAATATTACTTTTGTACAATAAAATATCAACAAATGCTCATTTACAGTTGTTAACTCCACATGGCAATATTTGACATGGGACGTTTATATTTTTGTTTAGTATAGAACAGCGGTCTTTAGAAACCGTTTCTTCAGAAACACGGTTTGACCCATGCAGAGTCCGTATGGGTCATTTTAAAATTGATAATTGTGTTTTCTAATGGTATACTGTAAAAATAGTAATAGTACCTGACTGACTACCAAAATTAATTGGAGGTGTTTTAATGCAGGGTGATTAAAAAACAAACAAACAAACAAACAAACAAAAAAAACAAACAATACTTACAGATAAGAAAACAGAATCACGGACAAAACTCGGTTTCTGATTGCTGTGACTGCTGACTGAACAGATAAGGTTCCAGGCTTAACTAAGCATGGCTGCTAGCCTGGTCTGGAGCAGGCTGGCTTCACAAAATAAGTCACCATGGTAACTTATGTGTTATTTCTTTTGTAACATTGAATTGAGGCTTAATTAAGACAGGATATCCAGAAAATCCCAGCTTAATCTGCTATCCTGGTTTTGTGAAACAGCCCTCTAGTTTGTATATAACCAGAATGACAATCAGTGAAGCTTTAGCCTTGATTCAGAGTTCACTACCTGTGAGAAGACAAGAAACATTAAGGTTAATATATTAGTTGGAGATGTTTGGAAACTTTGCAAAACAATCTTCTTATAACACCACCTTAAAATAAGAAATCTTGTTTGGTTGAGTACATCCTTCTGTACAACAAGAACTGAAACTGACCAATGTGTGCTAATGTCTAATCCCATTCTGCAGCTGGTCAGTAGACTAGAGACATGTTTAACTAGCAGTTTCCTCTGAGCTCCAGTGATCTTGATTGTCTCAGTGCGCTGCGAGTAGACTTCAGTTAACATCAGTAGAACCGAATAACTGCATCATCATTGACCAATCAGACCCGTGGAGCAGTTGCCGTTTCATAGATGCTTTGCATTCAATACAAAGGTTATTTACTTCAACCCTTTTTTAAAGCACTGTATAATTTTGTAGTGTAAAACAAAAACTAAAATATTGAAATATTTAATTCAATTCATTACTCAGAATTGATGCAGTGTTGTCAAAGGCCACTGCCCTGTATATTTTAGCCACGTCCCTGTTCCAGAACACCTGATTCAAAGGTCTGCATGACCTCCTCTGTATGCCACCCAGTACATACAGTTTGTTGATCACAATATTTTTCAAAATGGGTGAGCTTCACCATATAACCATGTTTGTCGGAGGTCTGCTCTACTTCCACATGGGGGGAGCAATCTGGCCTTGGTGTCAAGTTTATTACAGTCAATACTGATTAAATGTTGATTGTCGTAAATATAAAAGTTAATCAGAATTTAAAGCTAAAAGTGACCATGACTGCACAGGAGAACACAAGTTGTAATTTTATTCTATTATTAAAACAGATTTTAATGTTAACATACTTACCTAAACTTCCACATGGACAAGAGCAGATGATCTACAAGGAGAAACTAAAATAGGAAAACATATTCTAATTAAAAAGGACTATAGTGATTTAATGGGTATTTTAGCCCATTTACTGCAAGCTGTTTGTAAACACATGCTGAAAGATTGCCAGCAGTGATCTTCACAAGCAGTTAATGAATAAAGCATCCAATTAAGCTGAGGTTATGTGGTCAGTGTACTGTGAAAACAACTTCATGTTTTTTTTTATTTCAGAGACTCTAGTCTAAAAATCATCATTCCACTTAACCCAATAGAATAAAGGCTCATAGATTCCAGGCTTACCTGAAGCAAGACATTCCGTCTATGGCTACATCACCGAACAGGTGCCTGAAATAATAATAATAAATTAGTATAAACTTTTACTAAATCAGTTTGAATTACAAGTATATAGGATGCATGTTCAGTGCAATCTCAAATAGCATCACCATATTATCAGAGACTCTAGTCTAATGAATCATCACTACAGCATTTTAATATATTACATAATTCAGTGATAGGGCTGGGCAATATATTCAAATCCAAATGTACAGTTACATTTGTACAAGACCTTTCTCCAGTAACCATGGAAGTAGTCTTGGAAACTGTGGGCTAACATACAGGAGCAATTTGCATGACATGGCATCAGTAGATGTAATTCTCATTCAACACTGCAACTGAAATGCATAACAAAGAGGGGAGGTTCAAGATATAAAAGTTCAGAGTAGCATTATGACAACACACCTCAATTTTGTTAATACTAGGGTAAGCACTAAAAAATAGCATAAATTTGTTTTAATATAAATAATTCATCTGTTTTATACCATGCTATCATGACAAAGTGACAGTTGTAACAAATATGTAAAAGCCATATTTTTCTGTAGCTATAAGTAGATTTCACTAGAAAAACAAAACCAAGAATTTAAATGTACATGGATTTTCCAGAGAGACAAAAACGGAATAGGAAGGATAAAAACCAACAAAATGCTTGCAAACTACGGGCAATAAAACCCCCAACACAAAAACGTATTCTATTATGTAATGTAGGGTATAAGTATGAACAGAATGACTATTGCCCAGCCCTACTGATGTTGAATTTCAGTGCAACTCACCATCACCTTATAACTACTGACTTAACCAGCAGCCACTCGGCATCCATCTTGATGCTGTAAAAGAAAATATGGGACAGATTAGATATTTTAGTTAGGTAAAAAAAAGTCTCGTCAAATCCCACATTTTATTTACAAAGTCAGATTTATAACTGAAAACAGTTATATAAAACACAGAAAACTTTCTGGAAACAAAATAGCAAAAATGTAGCTTTACAATCTGAAGTAAAGCAATTTTTAACAACTGGATCATCAGCTGCAACACAAAGGGGAGATTGTTTAAAATATATGTTGCCGTTTAGTGAAGTTAGCTTGATCTAAGTATGATGGCTTTGTGAACGATCCAGTTTAAGCACTAAATTATTAACTAATATAGACATGAAATGACGTGAGCAAGGCTTTCCGTATAGACACGTGAAGAAATAACAGTTTTCTAAAGGATAAAGTTCTCTACTATTAGGAATACCTCATGATTGTTCCTTTGTTCTTCAGAATCAGCCGGGTTGTATGAACCGATTATCAAGTAACCCCCATTTGGTCAGCCTCCATTTCTTATGTCCTTGCCACCCCACGTGCTCGGACAGCGAAGCCGGTGCACATGGTGCAATTTTCTTTCAGCTCGCAGTGAAAATAAATAGAAACCCGACCGAGGGTCCTTGCTGTGTTTCACACAAGCAATGCATCACACAGAATTGGAACTCTGTTTTGGCTATAATCTTGAACAACTTCTCCGTATGTATGTATCCTTATCTCACACCAAAGGACAGAGGCTAAAACATGGCTGTCAGCAGTTTATATACGAGGGTCCTCTCAGAGCAAAAGTCATAGGTGTCCTAAGGAATGCCAGGGTCTTTTTTCTTTTTTTTTTTACAAGGCTCTTTTTTCCTTTGTGTAACTGGGGTCTTCAAATGCCATAAATGCCATAATCTAATCCAGTTTCTTATTTACTATTTTACTTTTTCTGATAAGTCGACTTGCAAAATTAAAACACGTAACCTTGTGACGCCCATAGTCATTAATACGGGGACGCCCGACTCCACCAGCAGGACCTATTTTTTTCTTTCTAAACTTTATTGTTAAAAACGGTCAAATCTTACAAGCACACAAACTTCTTGTACAGTATCTTGAGTGACTAGCAGTCAACGAATATATATAAGAAAGAAACAAAGGGGTTACAGAATGACATGAAAGCCTAACACAACAAGTGATTATTATTAGAAAACAATAAAGCATAATAAACTGAACAGCTGGAATTATTGTACAGGGTCTTAATCATGAAATGGACGTCAAAAACCAAACCGGACATACAGAGCAGAGCAACATTCTTTGTCTCAATCATTTTCACAGAGTTGAACAGAAGTTAAATTTATTTTAGATACCAGCAGGACCTGCCTCAAATAATGTACCACGGTGTCTGTGTCAGATTGAGTAGAATATGAAATGAAAAAAAATTCCCTTCTCACCCTCCGCAGGTGGTCTCTCTCTCTCTCTCTCTCTCTCTCTCTCTCTCTCTCTCTCTTTCATCCTCTGAGCTCGGGTCCTCTATCAGAGGCCTGGGAGCTTGAGGTTCTCCTCCAGTATCTTGGCTGTGCCTAGAACTGCACATTTCTGGACTGAGATGTCTGATGTTGTTCCTGGGATCTGTTTTAGCCACTGCTCCAGTTTGGGGGTGACTGCCCCGAGGGTCCCGATGACCACAGGCACCACTGTGGTCTTCACCTTCCAGGTCTTTTCCAGTTCCTCTCTGAGGCCCTGGTATTTCTCCAGTTTCTCGTGCTCCTTTTTCCTGATGTTGTGGTCACTTGGTATTGCTACATCCACCACAATGGCTTTCCTCTGTTCTTTATCCACCACCACAATGTCTGGTTGGTTCGCCATTACCATTTTGTCTGTCTGGATCTGGAAGTCCCACAGGATCTTGGCTCGGTCATTCTCCACCACCTTTGGGGGTGTTCCCCACTTCGATCTCCGGGCTTCCAGTCCATATTCTGCACAGATGTTCCTGTACACTATGCC